CTCTTTCCAAGCATGTATATATGCATATCTATACAGTTGGCCTTCCACATTTGCAGCTTGGACTTTTGTGAATTTGATTATTCATGGATTTGATTAATATGTTCTCTAGCATGATTCTGCCAGAAGTTGACCATAGTAGAGTCACACTGGAGGACCTAGAGATGCCTAGAGAAAATACTTCTCTAAGCATTTGTCGGTCCTCCAGCATGATTTTATGGTCAGCTCCTGGCAGATGTTGACCATAGAGTTGAAACATATATGTTTCAATATGTGTGCAGCATATGTTTAAGTATATGGATATATTTACATATATATTTAAATATATGTATACACCTGGCTTGAAATCAGTACATGTTAAAAGAATCTTTTAGTAGACCACAAGCCAAACATGAGCCAACAGTGTGATGCGGCGGTCAAGAAAGCCAACATAAGAAGGATGACCAAGATGATCAGAGGTCTGGAAAACCAAGCCTTACAAGGAACAAGTGAGGGATCAGGATATGTTTAGCTTGGGAAAGAAATGCTTATGAGGTAACATGATCACTATCTTTAAAAATCTGAAAGGATGTCATGGAGAAGATGGAGCAAGCTTGTTTTCTGCTACTCCAGAAACTAGAACATGAATAAATGGATTCAAATTACAAGAAGAGAGATTCCACCTAAACATTGGAAAGACCATCTTCACTGTAAGAGCCATTCAGCAGTGGAATGGAAAGGATGAGCATCTTTCAGGGCTTTTAGTTGTATATTCCTGCATGGTTTGGGGTTGGAATAGATGGCCCTTGTGGTTCCTTCCAGCTCTAAGGTTGTATGATTCTGCGTAGATGTCCTGGCTTTGTAATAATCTGTCCTCTGGGGTCAAACGGGACTATAGCCAGAGAACTTTGGTCTGCTCTCTGAGGTCTCTGCCAGATATTTTTTTAAAATAGAGGAAGGTTGCTGTCCCAAAGAGAGAAGCACACATGGAGAAGGTGTGCTTAACCTTACACCAACCATGACTTTTTCCCTGCATTAGTCTTCCCTCTCTTTGGCCATCACAAAATCATCTGGGAATCCAGACTAAACAAGGGGCAGAGAGAAATGTTAGAAAATGGGAGCACCATAATTCATTGGCAGATGTTTAGCCTGGGTCCAATTCCTGACATTTCCAGCTCAGAAGGACCACACAGCAGTGACAAGAAAGGTCCTGGGTTCAAGTCCTGACACCTCCAGATAGGAGGACCATGTAGCAGGTGAGGGAGAAAGTCCTGAGATCAATTGCTGACACCTCCAGCTCATAACGTTGTTGTGTACCTTTAAGGTATTTCCTACCTATGGCAACCTACCACATGGTTTTTCTTGGCATGTGTCTTCAGAGGGGTTTTGCCAGTGCCATCCTCTGAGGCTGAGAGAATGTGACTTGCCCAAGGTCACCAATGGGTTTCCATGGCTGAGCCAGGATTGGAACCCTGGTCTCCCAGGCTCCTAGTCCAGTGTTCAAAACAGTGCACCACTACCAAGCAGTGAGAGAAGGGAAAGGTCCTTGGTTCAATTTCGGGCATTTCTAGCTTGAACAACCAAATAAATACAACATATATTTTCGAGCCAGTGTGGCATAGTGGTTTGAGCACTGGACTACAACTCTGAAGACTGGGGTTCGATTTCTCACTCAGCCATGGAAACCCACTGGGTGACCTTGGGCAAGTCACACATTCTCAGCCCCAGAAAACCCCATTAAAAGGCCTTAGGGTCACCATAAGAAACGACTTGAAGGCACACAACAACAACAACAACCAATGTATATATTAGACAGTCACAGACCATCAAAACACAAGACGTTCACCAGAAAGAACATACGCACATACAGCTAAACAATAAAAAACAGAACAGGTAGCAGTTCACCAGTTATTTAAAATTCTATAATATATAAAACTTAGTCAACAATAAGGGGGGAAAACAGAAAATACTACTAATGTTTCTCAATAATATTTTTATAAATCTTAGCCGTAAATGAGCTTTGCAACAATTTCAGGTATAATGTTTATTACCTTTGGCTAATTGATCAACTACCAATCAGAAGATTTTCCAGGGAGAAAATATATAAGAGAGAGGTGTAATATGTATTAGTTGCTCATCTCTGTAAAAATGACAAAAGAACATATTGGACAGAAGCTCTATTAATCCATCTCCACATGGGCAAATACAAGTCAGGTCTTCAAGATCATTTGCACCCCTATCAGTATTAAATGACAAACCTAGATAGTGGTTTGAGCACTGGACTATGACTCTGGAGACCAGGGTTCAAATCCCTGATCAGTCATGGAAACCCACTGGGCAAGTCACACTCTCTCAGCCTCAGAGGAAGGCAAAGGCAAACCTCTTTCCAAGAAAACCCTGTGATAGGTTTGCTTTTGCCTTAGGGTCACCATAAGTTGGAAATGACTTGAAGGCATACAACAACAACAACAACAACAACAACAACAACTAGATAAATTGGGGGACAGGAAGTAGAAGCAGCAGATAAAGAGTATTGAGTATCAATACCTTTGATCCGACTATCGTGAATAAACTTTGCCTAAGAAAAGTCTTGGGTAGAGACAATATTATCTGAAAGATCTGTGCCTTGTAATTTATCTTTAATAAACTTAGACCACTGGCTGAATCAAGTAGCAGGTCCTGGACATTTCTACCTAGAAGAACCAAGTAGCAGATGATGGGAAAGATCCTGGGTTCCGTTCTTGACATCTCATGGGTCCCTTCATAACTACACAACTACTGTGTAGCACTATGATTCCACTTTAACTATCATAGCTGTATTGTATGGAATCCCAGTTTTGTAGTTTGGTGAAGGGTGTGAATTCAGATTGTCCCTCCCTAAACTGCAAATTCCAGGATTCCACAGAGTGGAACCATGGCAGTTAGAGGGGAATCATAGTGCTATAGCTGTGAAGCATGAAAGCGCGTCAGATAGAAGAGCCAAGGAGCAGGTAATGGAAAGGTCCCAGGTTCGAATCCTAACATCTCTAGCTAAAAGGACCACATAGCAGGTGAAAGGAGAGTCCCCTGTCTGCTGTTGGAGAGAGCTGTTGCCAATGTGGTTGCCTGTCAATGTCAATGGTGTGGTGGTTTGAATGCTGGACTATGACTCTGGATACCAGGGTTCCATCTCACCTCAGTCATGAAACCACCACGCAAGTCACATACTCTCAGCCATAGAGGAAGGCAATTACAAACCATCTCTGAACAAATCTTGCCAAGAAAACCCCATGATAGGGTTGCCTTAGGGTCACCATATGTTGGAAATGACTTGAAGGCACACAGCAACTACAACCATAAAGGAATGACCAAAGCTGCTGAAACTACTGGGGAGAAATAAGCTTCAGCCCCTTGAACAGTTCTTCTAAAGTCTGGAATAAAACCCAAAGCAGATTCATTATACCAGTACCCCTGAAGTTTGAAGCCAATGGTTGTCACAGAATTCCCAATACCAGGCTAAAGGACAGACAGTCTGGCTTAATATACAGCCATTTGCTATGCCTTTTCCCAATTTCGCCTTCCCTTTGACACTTTTAAAGATATATTTAGAGGAGACCTAGGTCGCCAGACTTAGGTCATTGCCAAATGTCTTGCGGTTGGAGAAGCCTTCCAAAAATAGCTTCTCTTCTCTTCCAGTCTCAAAATGCCCATCGACAGGGTGATGAGAACCAGTTTCACAAAGTGAGGGCAAATGATGAAACAGTCTCCTTGGCCCCTTTCACAGCCTTGGCTCGGCTTCCCACCCACTAGGCACCCGTCTTGCCAAAGAGTATTTGGAGATTTCCATGCACTTTCAGCCTTGAGGACTCAAAATGTCCCTCTTTCTTTCTCCCTTGGTAGAGATGGCCTGAGCTCTCAAACTCCTCATTGGTGGCAAGTCACCAGTCTGGGCAAAAGAGCCTGGGAATGAATCCAGATTGTAAATAAACTCACATTGCCAACTACGAACAAATTGCTTATTCAGCCCAGCAGGAGCTGGAAGAGGAGTGCCTAGATTTCTCATGGGTCCATCTCAATCATGCTCTCCAACATGGATCTTGCTTTATAAACAGAGGCCACAAGGCTCAGAGCTATGACTGCTCAAAGCTGGCCTAGCTAGTCTTTCTTGCAGCCTTCCTAGGACTCCGAAATAGAAGCAAACTTCAGACCCAGAGAATCGCTTCACTCTTTGCCATGGAAGGCTACGTCTCTGCCGTCCGCAAGATGGAACAAACCGTGATGTTCCCCAGTCTTCTCTTGGGGGTCTCCTTGGAAGATCAGGATGACACAATCCAAGCCAACAACAACAACACGAAATCCAGTGACAAAGACTTGTACGAATATTACACACTCCTAAAATCCATCAAGTCGACCGCCGAAGGTGGGCTGGCACCTCTCAAAGAGAAGAATCTCAGCATTGTTGGAGAGGAAAGCAAAGAGGAGGCAGACCTTGAAGGGCTTTTTCATTTCCATGTGTCTGGTTTGCACCATGTCCTCACGCAGTTGACCAGGAGAGCCAACACTGTCACATCCAAATACAACGAAATCATGGGGCAGATCAGCCAGAACCAAATTTATCTCCATTGGTGAAACCAAAGACGAAGAACAACAAAGGTGAGATATTTACTAAGTGTACGCTTGTGAAACCAACTTTCTCTGTTTCTTTCTTGCTTATGTGGCCTGGTTTTCTATTTTTCCGTCCCTTGACCATGATTGACCAGTAGAAACTGGAGCAACAAGGGTGATTTTGTACCATAAGAGCCGTCCGTACCATTAGACAGAGTGAGGCAGCTGCCTTGGAAATTGGTGGCTGTGGTGCCCATGGGCCACTGAATCTACTTCGCGTTTAACTATTTACAGTTCAGACTGAAACCCAAAGCAGATTCAATGCCCCACTAGCCTCATAGCCAGCAGCCAATGTTGCCACCAACTAAGCAGTAGTTTTTGAGTCAATAAAGGGCAGACAAGTCTTTGATATTTCTTTTGTTATGGCATTATTTTAACTTAGGCTGCTGCCGCAGTGCAAAAAAAGGAACCAAGTGACACCATTTTAACTGCCATGACTCAATGTTATGGGATTCTGGGATTTGTAGGGTTTTTTTAATCTTTATTTTTATTTTAAAAACATATCCGTACAAAATAAAGCTAAACAGAAACCCAAACTTCACTTTACATTTTACATTTTTGGGGTGGGCATTCAGGGATTATTTGCTGGCAGCAAAACATCTTGGGCTTGTGCCACATATATAGTCTGGTTGATGCTCCATTACTTACTGATAGTTTACTAATTACTTGACTAATAGTCCAAGAAAGGAAATTGTCACTACTTCTAGCCCTTTTTTGGTGATTAATCTCCTGTCTCAGGAGCACCATCCTTTAATCCTAAATAAGGATCAATTGGTAGTGGAGGTTGGTGCTGCTGTGGTTTTTCAGTGGTGATTTTTCTTTTCATAGAATCATAGAGTTGGAAGAGACCACAAAGACCATCCAGTCCAACCCCCTGCCATGCAGGAACTCAAAATCAAAGCATTTTCATTACTTTCTATCTCCCAAGTCTTTCCTTGGAGTGAAAATATTCCTTTTTCTTTGCAAAGCTTAGACTAGACCAGTAGTATCCCCTAAATAGCTCTACTTTAATGGTATTAGGTCTCATTCCCCCTTGTTAACACCTTTTTTTTATCAGTTTTGCAGGACAAAATACATTTTACAACTTGGACATGTGTACAGCTCCAGTCTTTTACCCAGGAAAGAGCCTCTTAGCTGACACCAAAAGATCTTCAATGCAATGTCCATCCCATGGAGTATCACTGCATCAACTATACTTGAATGACTTTTGCACTGATCTTTGTTGATCAAAGAGAACTCAATGGCAAATATAGAGCACTGTTGCTTTCTGATGTTTGAAATTTGCTTATGCTTAGAGAAATAAAGTAATTCCTACCATACAACGCTGTCTCGTATATGACCATACATCCATTTAGTCCAATATCATACAGCACCAGAGATAAAGAAAGTGTAGCCCTCTAAATAGAACCTGACTGCAACTTTTAACATTCAGCTCCATTGGATATCCCGGTCGGGGTGGATGGGAGTTGCAGTCCAATAAAATCTGAAAGGCTACATGCCCCCTACACATGGTCTACAAATCTGAATGGTTGCGGTCATGTTGGTTGAGTACATTCTGGCAGCAATAGTTTTAAAAAAGGAACATTCCCAAAATCTGGAGCCTCATCCACACTGCAGAAATAATGCAGTTTGACACCACTTTAACTGCCATAGCACAATGCTATGGGATTCTTGGATTTGTAGTTTGTCGTGGCACCAGAGTTCTCTGACAGAGAAGGCTAAATATCTCACAAAACTACATATCTCGGAATTCCATAGTATGGAGCCATGGCAGGTAAAGTGATATCAAACTGCATTATTCCTGCAGTGCGGATGCAGCCTGAATAACCTTGCTAGCTGGGATCATTTGAAATGAGACAGGCCTGATTTCAACCTTTTAAAGGTAGCTGCCAACAACCTGTCCAAGTCAATGGTTGATACCCATCCTTCTTCAACAGTTTTTATTCTGCTGGAAAGCTGTGTGTGTCCTACCATTTTAATTTTCCCACCATGCTTTGTAAGAAACATCATATCAAGGGCATTATGGGAAATGATG